GGGGGGGGGGGGGGGGGGGGGGGGGGGGGGGGGGGGGGGGGGGGGGGCGCACGTCGGATGGTATGGGGTAAGGGTGCCTCTCGGCCGCATGCAGATGCTGCGGCATCCTTTTGTAGAGCCGGGACCGAAGAAGCAAGTCATCAGGTCATTTTGCTTGTGGGCCATTCGTCGTGAGAAGCCCCCTGCGTGCGTGAATCGCACGAACGGTGACGACATACCACTGGAAAGATCCCCTTGCAAGGCGGACTGCTTCGGCACTTCTCCGTACTTTATATCTGACGCATGGATGACCGCTCGCAAGGGCTTCATTTTTTGCAAGGCAGACTTCGGCACCTCGTGCGTACTTTCTTTTTGTCACACATGAATGACATGACAGCTCCCCAAGGACTTGTTTTTTTCTGGGTGTGATTTGTTCGTGGATAGCGAGGGGGCACTACCACCGAGCACGGCGATGCCCCAGCAGTGCGTAATTTTGCGGCGCGGGCCGGGTAATTTACTGCGTGTTTGTGGGCGTGCGAGCCGCGCTTTGCGGGCGTAGGCACCGCGCTCATGCTGCTGCTGCTGCTGCTGTTGCTGCTGCTGCTGCTGCTGCCGTTCTTGTGGCATGGCGAGGAAGAAAGGCCGAAACCCCAATATGGACCCAGAAGTCAAAGATGGCGATACAGGTCCACAGGAATAGATGCAATTGATTTTCAGTAGCCTCATAGACATGTATGATGACTTGCGTTATGGTGACTTGTCTCCATGGTTGCTAAAGACTTGCACCTCTCTGGAGATGAAACGACTACCCTGCACGGTTGCGTAGACAATGGTACAAGATCGGAGATGGTCCGCGTATCGCGACAACTTGGGTTTGCGTCAGCGCCGGCACCGAATTCTCTTGACACTACACGCCCCAATCTAGGTGATCATCACTGCTGCATTCGAGCCGACGTGCGGCGTGGGTGGACGCTTTTTAGACTCTCTCTGCGGAACACGAGTCAGCTATGATTTCATCCACGCTTACGAGGTGGAGTAGTAGCTGAATCCTGTTCTCCCGAGCGAGTCCACAACAGCGCTTGCGGATAGCCTCATGTAGCTCCGATCGCGGTAGTGATGGTCCCAAACTTGGGGCGTGTAGTGTCTAGAGCATTCCGTGTCGCCGCTGATGTCAGTTCAGGGCGACGCTTTTCGGGGACCATCTCGCTGCTCTACAGTTGTTTTCGCACACGTGTAGGGTACGCGTTTCATCTCGAGAGAGCTGCAAGTCTTGTGCAACTATTCAAAGGAGTCATCGTAATGTATTCGTCGCCATATACATCTATATGTACGTCATTTTTTCATCTCGTATATATATATGGCTCCGATAAAAGCGCGGAACTTGCAGCTCTCTCGAGATGAAAAACGAAGCACTATCAACGTGAGTCGTTATTTGGTTCTCACCGATGTGACGTTTGCATTGACATGAAACGGGGCGATATACCAGAAAAAAAATTGAGGGATGAAAACGATCGTACATGTTTTGCGTTCAACCACTGTTTACAATGGTCCCTAGATTGATTTTGATATACCAGAATAAAATTATGAGGGATGAAAACGATCGTACATGTGTTGCCTTCAACCGAGTTTTCCATAAGGGTTCCCAGATTTGGTGTTGTGTACGTCGGCGGCAGAAACGTTGAACATGGTGGTGAAAAGAGTGCAAAGTGCCAATTTTATTTTTTACTGTCGGTGGATAATGATAAACTTCCTCGCGCTGAGAGGAGTTGTCGTTTTCTTGTGTTGTTGCTGGTGGTGCTGCCTTCACGATGTTAGCAGTCGGAGGGCTTTGTGTACAGCGTATGCTCGCGACGCCAAAGGGCAATCAACGATATAGCGGTTTTCGACGAAGCGGAACAACGGCCCCCGACAGGTACTCTCATGGAAGGCAGCAGACCCATACCAACAGCGTCCACAACAATACCACATGAGCAACAGCAAGAGGGGTAGCATCACCACCGCAACCAACAGCAGCAGCAGCAGCAACAACGCCATTTTTTTTTTTTTTTTTGGCAACACAACAGAGAGTACCTGGGTTTAGACTGGGAGTCTCAGGGTCACTGGGACGAGCCGTTCTTCTTCATCCAGATCGCGGACCCGCAGCTGGGAATGGTGAAGGCTGATGGTCCCGTGGGGGGAGCGGTGTGGGAGGTGAGAGAGAGGGGAGGGGAGGGAGAGGACGATAAGGCACAATCACACGCAGAGAGAGAGGGGGGGCGGGGGGGAAAGGGAGAGGGAGAGGGAGAGGGAGAGGGAGAACCAAGAGGTTGAACACGCAAACCGCACAGCAACTTAAATTCTTGAGGTGGAGCGATTTGGTTGTTTGGCCGAGAAAACTTACCGTCTGATTTGTTTTCCCGACGATGATGTGTACCGTAGAAAATTGGTGACTTGCCAACGTTACGAGGCCCAGCAAACCGCCCCACCCCCCAACCGGACTGCCGCGTTTCCGCGTTGCCGCCCGTTACTCCGCCGCATTCTCGACGGTTACAAAACCGATGCAGTGTATCGTAACACGTTCGTGACTCGCCGACGTGATGTGGCCCAGAAAAACCGGTCCCCCCCACCGCGTTGCCGCCCGTTATTTCGCCGCCGCACTCTCGACGGTTACAAAACCGAATACGTGTACCCTAGAAAACAGTGACTCGCCGAAACCCAGGGACACCAACGCCCCTCATCAGTGTTGACGCCCCGTTATTGCGCCGCACTCTCAAACGGTTACATAACATGCGTCCGTCGTTCGCTGGTAATGTGGTGTTTTTAACCAGATCGAGGCCGAGCGGCTGTCACGTGTGGTCGGAATCGTGAACAGGCTGCGGCCCAAGTTCCTCCTGGTGACCGGGGACATGACGCACGCCCCACCGGGTAACGAGTACTACGAGGGACAGGTGCGAGGAGAGAGATAAAAAAAAAAATGGGAAAACACGCCTCCGCCCTTCTTCTGTTGTATTTTGCTCTTAGCCTAGGATCACTTAATGAAAGTATTGGATTTGGATGAGGCGTCCAGCTCTGAGGCCGGCGGTCCCATGGATGCTTTGCCGCACCGACGGTAGTTGGTGCGGCAATGAGTCTGTAAATGATCTAACGACGTTTTAGCCAAAACAGCAGGGAGGATGGGTGGTCTCAAATTTTCCTGTCCTACCCACCGTTTTCTCGTGATCAAGGTAGGGAGAAATGAGAATGATTAGTTTTGTGCTTATATCAACATATTTCAAGGGCTGACACCTTCCTCCATATTTCTTTCCGAATCTTGGATTCATCTGTAGTCCAATTATTCTGTTGTATTGTGCTCTTAGCCTCGGAACATTTAATGAAAGAATTGGATTTTAGATGAGGCCTTCATCTCCGGCCTGCGGTCCCACCCAATCTTTCCTGTCTTGTGTCTTCTGTTTGACTACTGACCTGGAGCCTGGATGAATCACCCAAACTTTCGTGAATTTTTTGTCGTGATGTTAACGCGTCCTACCGCGGGCACACACTGCAAAGTCTGCTTCAAAGGCCGGAGACAGCGACGCCTCGTTGGTGGCCGTGTAGTTGACAGCCCGCTCCCGAGCGGAGGAGGATTCAACGTAGTACTTCGCCATGGACTGCGTCCGTTTCCAACCTCCAACCTGCATTATCTCCTCTATCGCGGCACCGCCCATGGACCTGCTCAATGCCCCCCCTACTCTGGAAGAATGCACGGTAAACTGGGTAGGCAGGTTAGCCGCTCGCAGGTGCGCCTGGAGGGCCGATGTCATGAGGGGTGTAGTTAGTTTGGCCGGTCTACACCGGCGGGACCAGACAACCCCCGTCCCAACGCTTGGGCGGCATCATTGCATTCGGCGAGACTCTGACTGCGCAAGTGTCCTGGTTGGTGCTAGTGCTAGCACGCACCACTGCTGCTTTGATCGAAGACCGCAAGGTCTTTCCAAACAAGAAATTGGAAACGAAGCCTCCGGACTCCGGCAGCCGGAGCACCTGTGACCCCAGCGTAAACGAGAGGTCGGATCCCCGCCGCATGGTTTTGTGCGCGAGCGCAAACAGGGCTATGTCCCGCGTGATGGCGATGCGTTCGGCCGCCAAACCGGACGCCAGGGCTCGCAAGGGCATATGCGGCAGCAGGTCGCCGAGGGTGTCCTCCAACAACGGCGCTGCCTGCTTGGTAGTTACCCCTACGCACTTCTGCTCCTCGGTGGTGAACGTGAGGTACGCGTCCACCGCGGGGGAGGTGCATGGGTTGCCCAATCCTGACGTGGGGTTCCAGTCGTCTCCTCTGCCCAACGGCTCTTTTTACGCCATTTTCAACTTAGAAAATAAATCCTTGCGAAGGGACTCGGCAGCGTATCGCTTCGAGCACGTTGTTCCTACGGAGCAGCTTCGTCGATCGGGCGACCCCACCCCCGCGCACGCGATATCGTGCACGAGCTTCGTCCCTTTCCCTTGCGAATCTAGGGAGCTGAACCAATCGAGGACGTCGTCCAGAGAGGCACTCGTCCACCCCCGGTGTCCGTCCGAATACGCACGCAGAAAGCAGTCGAAATCATCGGCAACTCTGTGCTTGTGGACCTCGCCGGCGCGTCCCCGCATGGCGGTCTCCACCTGCGATCGGCGCGCTCGCAGTTTTGGCCGGTGGATGACGGATACCCCCGGCCGGAGGCCCAGGGAGGACGCGGGACCAGCCGGTGGGGTACCACAGTCCCTACAGAAGTTGTTTTGGGCGACATTCTCCTGATTGCATTTCGAGCACCGCGGAATCCGCACTAGGGCTCGGACGGAATCGGCCCCAACAGCGTGTGTATTCTGCAATTACAAAGACGAGACCATGAAACGTTTGTGGGGAGGCTGTCGACCGGCGACAGTGTATCACCAAACGGCCTTATTACCGACGAAAATCTATTTCGTACGCAACCCTCGCCCAGCGGGGGTACCGCTACGGTCGAAGTGTGCCCTCTAACACACCACTCGCATTAACGCTGGCAACCTCGACGGAACGGGTAGATGCTAAGTGCATGCGAGGAAACCAGTATCCCTTGATGCCTGGGAGAAGTACCACCGCCCGCGCTCGACATCCCGCCAGGTGTTGGACAACGTGCCCGGCCATGACCGGTGGGGGGATACAGAAGCCAGACGACGGCACCGCGCCACCCGGCAACACCGCCAAATCTTGCGCAACGACTTGTACCCCGGCCGACCCGGCATAGTGATACCGCGAAGAGAAAGGAAGAGCTGCTCCGGCCAGAGGCGAGTGACGCACGGACGAGGTGCATGCCATCAAGTCTATATTGAAGGAGCCAAACTCCTCCCACAGCGATCTGAACGCGGCGGGCTGCGACCGGATGATGGTGTCCTGCGATGTTCGAGAGATGGCATCCGCCACCCCGTTCTCGGCCTTAGGGACCCATGTAAAGGACAACAGAAACTCACGTCCTACCTGGAGGTCAAACAAGTGGATACGCAAGTCATGCATGGTGCGGTTCTTGGCCCGCCCACGGTTGAATGCGCCGACGACCGACTGGTTGTCGACGTCGATGACGACTTGGGCACGCCGAAGCCGATCCGGGAGTCGTTGTCAGAACTGTAGCCGGAGGTGGTACAGCGCGTGCATTTCCTTCTGGTTGATGTCCTTTGATAGCGACTCAGAGGGAAGCACGCCCCTCGCTTCGAACGGGTCGGCTGCCGCGTACAGGACGCGTCCCCACGCCAACGACGAAGCGTCCGACGCCCCGTTGGTGATGGCAGCGGTGAAGTGCCGCGCGAGCTGCCACGGTCCCTCGCTCGGGTGTGGTCGCCGTTTTGCGGAGTCATTGACGCATTTCGCCAACCAAGTCTGCGCTTGGATCGAGGGAAAGGTCCACGGCCCTCCGGTGGGACCGTTCTAGAGCTGCCAGCGCGGTGAACATAGGCTGGGTATACAGCGAAGCAGGCCGAATCGCCACCGCCATACTGGTGACCTTGCCGGCCACGCGTTCAAGCGTCAGAAAGGAGATGGTGCCTGCGGCCAGGGCGTCCCGGAGAATGCGATGCACCGCGTTGAGCTTGTCTCGTGGCACTCGGAAGGTGACTGTGGTGGAGTCACACAGCATGTCCAGGTATTTTTGGACGGTCGTCGGTCGCCAGTCACATTTTTTCGGTGACAGAAGGTTGCCGGAAAAGTAAGAAACCAAGACGGAGATACGTGTCGCCTCGCATACCGCGAGCCACTGCTCCCGCGCTCCCCGGCCGTGAGCGGGGGCGTGGTGGGTGAGGAAGGAGTCGTCCAGGTACGCTTACGCCGGGATCCCCAAAGAGAGGAGGAAGGCCGCCTTCTCCTCGCCGAGGGCGTGGTAAACAAACGGACTGATACTAAGACGGAAAGGAAACGCGGTCGAATCGTCGAGCGAGGTCATGTTGCAGCCACGCTCCGCGCCGTTTGCTACTCGCGCGACGGTATCCATGGAAAACGGTATGCATTTGAAGAACTGGTTGAGCGGCCGTGCGTCACAGATGAGGCGGGGCCTGGTGTTTTCCACCGACGGCGCCATAATCAAGCGGGGTCGGGCCGGGCCCGCCGGGCCCTTGACGTCGTTCCATTTCGCCACGCACCCTCGGGCGATCAGCGACTGCAGTTCGGTCTCCACGAACCCGGCGAACTACTACGGAATATGGTTGCGGAACACAGCGGGCCGGAAGCTAGACGCCTTGTACGGTTGCTGGACGGACGGCCCTCGGTGTGAGTTGTCCAGGAAATGCTGAAGTTCACTCCATCCCGCGGGTACGGGAGAAACTGGTCCCGCAGCGGGTGGTCGACGAGGATAACGTCTCGCCCGAAGGCAACATGTCGGCGGGGCAAGTCCGTGACGAACAGCACTCCGCCATCGCCGGCGTCCCAAATAGGAGCGTGCCACGGCATCCGCGGCAAGCTCCCGGTACCGTAGATGCGTAGGACGTCGGCCCACTCGGAGTCTTCAGTGGCAGCTGGTGCCGCCGCTTGCGGCCACGCGCGTTTGTCGTCTGGGAGATGGGGTACTGACGGGGAGACCAACCGCACTCGAGCCTGGCGGCGGTCGAGGTGTTGGAGCCACGCATCGGCGTCTACCTACGAATCTCGCGGGGAAATAGCAACGGACGGCAAACAGACGTTTGCCCCGACGAGCCGCGGCGTGAGGTGACGGCACGAGCTCCGAAGTGTATATATATATACCCTACGGGCAAAAGTACGTCGGTTGTGATTTTTGGGGAATCCGGTGAGCAGCCGGCATCGATGTGACGGCTTAGGGTGCCGCAAGTCGGGTACATCGGGCAGCCCCCAGGCACACGGCGGGGCGCCACTACTCACCGAGACTACGCGAAAGGGCTTGAGCACCGGATTCCGGGCGATTACCGAGAGGATGCAGCTATCCAGGCTGGGAGCCGAGAAAAGATGGCGCGGCACAGACACTCGCAACGCAACGTCGGGCCCAGTACTCCTGCTACAACTCAAGACGAGGTCCATGGTTAAGGGAGGTGGCCACCTTGCAGTTGCGGGTGTGTCTATGCTACGCATGGTTGTGTCGGTGAATCTACGATCCTGACAGTCAGGTCCCGGGGGGGGGG